GTTTGCTTGTTTGTTTTTTCATTTCTTATCCTTTATTTTTCTTTCTGGGCTTCGGTCATACAAAAGTTTATGCAGCACGTGTTTAACTTCATGCACTGTGAGTAATTCTGTTAAAGTCAGTGGGATTGCTCACAGGATCCCATCCTGGCCCTATTGAAGTCAGTGTCAAAACTCTCACAGATGTTAGTGATACAGAATCTGGCCTACAGTGTGTAAAGATAAATGTGTAAGTCTGTGCAGGACCAGGGCCCTAGTTACTATTTTTCAGGAAGGAGGATACACCACTTGTAGTGTTCGGATATTTTTGAATTGTACTTGCATAGAAAACAGATCTTAAAATCTTTTAAAATAGAAATGTTTTGTTCCTAACTGAAAAATAAGTGTCCGGATTTTGCTCATACTTTCCAAAAACATTCACCCCTGGAGCATTTTTATCTGAAACTGCTCTAGCTATGACAGGTTTCAGGGTAGCAGCCGTGTTAGTCTGTATCCGCAAAAAGAAGAACAGGAGTACTTGTGGCACCTTAGTCTCTAAGGTGCTACAAGTACTCCTGTTCTTTCTGCTCTAGCTATAATTTTTATAAGCTACTCCTAAGATTACTGTAACTGAAAGAGAGGAAAGAAAAAGATAATTTTCTTTTTTTTCCCCCCCAGTATGTTTACTTTGAGCGTTTGACAACACTTGGTTTATAGTCAATTTCTCTGTTTCCCCTGTATTGACAGTTCTTTTACCCTGTCAGAATGGTCTTTCACACAACAATAAGAAAAAGAGGGAAATCTTTTTTTAAAAATAGAAAAAATAAGACCACAAAAATTGACAGCGGGGACATGTGGAAACACGTGTAGTATCTGAAACTATGTTTAACACCTTTTTTTAAATGACCTAGATTTCCACAACTTTTATTGAATCTGATCTCATCTGACAAAACTAGGACCGATGCTATAAAACTTTAATCACATGAGTAATGCTTATTCATGAGAGCATCCTACTCATCTGAGTAAGGGTTTGCAGGCTGCAACCCCTAAGTTGAAATAACCTTTAAATTGTGACATGAAAGACAAAAGACATGAAAGAGAAAGGGTAGGTTAACACTTTGGCCTTAATTCATATTATTGTTCTGTCTTCACCCCATCAAAAAAAAAAATGAGTGAAAGATTGTGTGTCAATATAAACTTTGAATCTTCTTGCTCTTTGTTGTTTCTTTTATACAGAACTGTTTATTGCATTTTATTTCCTGTGGGTTAGGGGGAAGTTTAAAGAAAAAGCAGAACCTCTGTGTTATAAAATAGTGTCTCATGTATATGCAAGAAATGAGAACAGACGTCATGTCACTTGATTAAGTCTGTGTGAAAAATATCCTTCTGAAACTTTGCATTTGTCTTGTATGTATTAAACTTTTTTTTTTTAATTGTTCCAATAGTGATTAGTTCATATTATGGAATAGGTACTTGCCAAAATATTTTTTTTTAAATCAAAGTAGTTTTGCAGTTATATAAGCACACACACAAAAAATCTTCAACTCATCAACTTCTAACATTTTTGGTTTATATATTTTTACAGTTATGTAACCTCTGAAATTTAAAAGCATTAATTTACTACTAAACTAGAGGTTTACATGCCAAGTTTCAGCCCTGAATGTGTTTTCTCAGCTGACATATACACCAGAGAGAAACAAGATTTTTAACTAGTGCTGACAATACTGTTTATTGATTTCATTATTAAAGTGAGAGGGTGGTAAAGTTACTTGGTGCTTCAGGACATGTGCCTTATGCCACATAGCTTACCAGCAAAATAACACCAGATAAACTCAGGACCATGGTAAGGGAAATTAAGTTTGTGGAGTTATTGATTAGGAGTAAAGAGGAAAAGGAATAGCTGAACAAGGAGGATTTGAAGGAACAGAGAGGGCACCTGGCACATCTGTCTACCCACATTTGCCATGGGTAATGGGGGTGAAAGAAAGCACAAAGGGGAGAGGAGACAAAGGAGAGCAAGGAAAAATGATTGGGGAAAGCATTGGGAGCAAGGAAGAGAGTAGGCCAAGGTATTAAATAGCTTCATAGATGTGCTATGTGCGACAATGTGCCTTCGGGGCTGAGTAAAGCCCCCGGAATATCTCCCTGGACAGCCTGCTTTAGCTCCAGCAGAACTGGATCAGCACCAGTTTCTTTGCATAAGTGCTTTCCCAGAG